GTGAAAATAAGGCACAATCAATGAATAAGGCTTATTATGCATGGTTAACTAACAATGTCAAATGGATGACGATCTTATGAGCAATCTCAATGATAGGGAGAGAGATAAAAGATAGATAGAAGAAGAAGAAAATAGAAATGGGATGAAGCCGGAAGAAAGTGGAAGGAGTCTAATAGGGTCGTCGTGTCCGTTGTCGTCTGAGTCGTTGTTGATGAGAAGACGTGGCTTTGTGCCTTTATATGCCTGGCCCACAGCTGCCATCCTTTTTGCTCGGACCAAGACGCAGGACTGTAGACAGCCTTCCTCTTCTTCATCTGGTGAAGCACTGTAACTGTAATCGTAGCCTGAATCGATCGTTTCTAAGCGACGATAAAATATTACTGGCACGATCTTAAAGAGTTCAAGCTTCATTTTTCCAGAAGGAACTTTAAAAGAGACGGTATCATGGTCTGGGTTACAACCACATCACCGGGACGTCTGAGGCTGTGTTTGTATCGGCAAAGATGAGTCCTTCTTTCTTTTTGGTGCAGGAATGTTCACGATAATCTTGTTTATATGTAAGACAATGCACCGATTTACATCAGCCGTACCACCCAAGCCCGGTTCGGCCGCCACCAAGTCGCTCCTATGCTCAGGCCGGCAAACAGCCCTGACCTGAATCCAGTGGAAAACGTATGCGGCTTCACGATCCCAAGGATGTACGCTCGTAACTTCAAATTCCGGGACGTGGGTGACCTCAAGAAGGCAATTACTGAAGCGTGGCACCAAGTCGATCAACGCTTATCGATAAGCTCTATTTCCGCATGGACAATCGGGTCTTTCAAGTGATTCGAAAAAATGGGGCTCAATAGACAATCTAATTAGGGGGCTCAATAGACAATTTGGTCTTTCTGTCGTGTTTTCGTAGCTCAATTAAGCGATAATCTCTTGACAAATTGGAGGAGGTATGATTATGCCAAATAGTCTAGGTGACTCTTTCTTGTTTCTGAAAAAAAAGATAGAAATTTGCAATGGTTTTGAATTAAAATTTGATCCCAATGAACAAGGTTGCATTTGTATCTAACACTTTTTGACTATGGAAACTCTAGTACCCTCCAAACAGTCTTCACCGAGACTCTGAGCTCCAAAAAAGATCTGATTTCCACGCATGACTATTGGATGCTCTCTTCAAGATATATGCATATTCTTCAAGATATTCGCTTATCCAGGTCGGGAAGCGATGGAGGGCGTTCAGAACTCTTTTTATTCCTTATCTCGCAGGATGCTTTACGAACCTGGTGACAACTGGACGGCTTCGACCTAGGTCGCGCACTATTTGACAATGAGATAGGCCCTGATTCTTTTTGGCTACGATTTGGTCTTTTTCGAAGTTTTATTTTTTACTTTTTTCATTTCTGCATTGTGCGCTAAAAAGAGGAAGTTAAAAACATCTAAGCTTTGATTTTATTTTTTAATTTTGTTGGTTCTAAGCAATAACGACACATAACAAGAAACCAAGATGTGGAACATGATTATGTCAAATAGCCTCGGCAGCTGTTTTTCAAAAAAAGTCAGGATAAAATTTCTTAATGTTCTTGGAATAAAATTCGATTTTGACGGCAAACTCGCATTTGTATCTAACAATTTTCACTGTGGGACTTTTTTGAAAACCTGAATTGAAGACTTCCATAGAGTCATTGCGTGGGATATTAAAGATTATGTCAGCCGTATGATTCGTCCAGATAGTTACATGATTTCCATTGAGCTGCCACTTCGACAAAGGTACGTGTTGCGGTTCTTCTTGTTTTCTTTTCATTGTTCCGTAAATTGACTTTTTCCAATTGGCAATGCAAAAAAAATGACAGATAGAAATTTATTGGTCGTCACATTAGAATAAACAACGAACAATTAACGTTACTCGCCCATATTACAACGAGAGATCACAAGTTTCACATACGGAGGGTAAGAATTTCGAATATCGCGGCACAAATTCTCACGGGATGACCCGAACAGTATTGGCAAAAACAAAACGTTAACCATCAAGGTTAAAATTCTCACACGGTCATAGCGCTCTCACAGCAACAAGTTTCTATAAATTAAAATGACCACACATAGCTGAATGTTCACAACACAGAAGGAGTCAAGTAAGTAGTTCTATGGTTTTTTAATGAAAGATGAATAAGATTTACCTCTCCGAGGGTTGGATATTGTGGTGCCGAAAATGAAACTAAGCCGCGAATTACGCTCAATACCACACTTCTGGATACAAGAACATGGTAATATTGATGCCGATCAGAGACAGGTAAGTGCACAAGGAGATCGTCTCCAGACGTCTGATAATTCGCTCCCAATACGAACGCAGTTGTTGATCTCTGTGCTGCGTCTGCTTTATCGAAATCACTTCCCTCAGTAAGGCGATGATACGTTATCTCCCGCTGGCACCAACGATGAGCTAAAATTAGACATTGATGAACACATGTTGCAATTTTTGCAGCGAAAATTTTCATTTATGAGGTCGCCACTAGGGGGTGTATATGGGTAAAATCTAATAGATTTAGGAGGACGAATGAACACACCCTTTGGACAAGAACCTTTGTCTCTGCTACAAATATTGGTCGCGGCTAGTAAAAGAATTGAAACGTGTAGAACACGTTGGGAACAATTGTCATTTCCCATATAAAAACTTGTGTGAGAAAAAAACGCCATTACTTATGGGCCAACCCAATACAAAGAATAAATTCGTCAAAAATTGAAGAAGCCGGAAGGCAAGACCGGTGGCTGCATTAGAAACACGCCGTATGACCAACTACGTGATGGATACCTCCCATATGCGAGGTAAACAGGGCTGTAGTTGTCGAAGCGTGCCACTTTTGCCGCTTGGAAGTGATTGTGAACGAGATTGGGGAGTTGGAGATAGCTGATTCCTTCCATAGCCCCGCCTACACATCAAGCCACAGACACGCAACACGCCGCTCGCCAATTGCGTCTAGTCAAGCCGCACGCGCTTGCGATCCCTCACGTCTGACTGAGGCGCCATTTTTCTCTGCGGCTCTCTGGCTGCGTGCCTGTGCAGCACGTCAACATGGTGGTAGCGGAATTAGAGCAACTAGCATGTACTGTCATGATCCACGCAAACGATAGGGCGTGCGATGCGGCGCGCATTGCAGCGCACTTGGGGCGCTCTTTTCCGACAGTGATGACATACTGAGGCCGTCACATCTAATGGGGAATCTGATGTGGCTGTGCTGCGAGTCATGCCCCGTCACAGCCCTATCGCAGGAATCATGACTGTAGGTGAAGCTGTGAAAAGATACCCGTTCATACCCCTCATTAGCACGCACTTCCGCTTAGCAGACATGGCACGCTTCGAGGGCCACAGCCTTCGAACATAAGGAGCGTCTATCTCGCCGGTGAACATCTACTCGCCTATTCGCAGTGTCTTCGGACATGCAAAACCTGCACCTCGAAAATCCCTTCAGTTTTTGCTGCACACAATCAGATAAAGTATTGGTTTTCGAGCTCTAAAAAATGTGTTTATAAGCAGACCAATCTACCTTTCATATGAACTGAAGAGCTCCTTTCTCTTCACTGTATTAGAACAAAGACACAAAAATGCGCAAGCACCGCCCATTCCTCCTACGGTGTCCCTCTAAAGTCTTTTTGAGAAAGGTGAAATGATGTATTACCTTCAAGTAAAACCTCGCCATGAAGAGGAGCATCGGTGTTGACTTCGGTGAAGTTTACCTGAACGCAGTTTATAAAAGCAGTGTAGGGATAGGAGAAGTACAAAGAGCTACCTCATTAGGAATGAGATTCTTCATCAGTGCATGTTCAGGACTGGATTGAACAGAAATAGCCTGAATTTGATTGAATTTTGCTTTGTTCCTTTTTCTTGCTAGACTTATTCATTGCAAGAGCGAGAGCAGACGTGTGTAGTCCAATCGGTATGGCTTTCCACACGCACGGACCTGCTAAATTTCCGCTGGCATAGCGCTTGAAGCACCGAGCTTTACTTCTCTCTGGCAGGATACGGGTGAGACTTGTTACAGTTAAAGAGGGTCTTAGGATTAATACGTTGTACAAGGACCCTCCTTGGTATTGATTTTATAGGCGAAGCTCGAAATGCAGCCGCGATTGCGAATGGGAACGGAGTCATTGCGTATCTTCAGAAAAGGAGTGCTTAGGGAAAAAAGCCAGGAGCCTCATCCTATTCCTCGAGCTAGCGGGTACTGAGCAGCGAATGACTTGAGAGGGAGGAAGACAGTTGTAACGCGCTAGTGCAGTGGTAAGCTGCTTAGTCTTAATTGTGGAAATACCACTGGTTTAAAAAGCGGCAAAGAAAGTTATAGTCGACAGAAGGACGAATAGGAGTGTGAGTCTGAAGGGAACCCCAATCACTCACGCTGGTGATGACGCCAGGATGCGAACACATATTTTCATAAAAATATTGTAGCACTGCTTTTCAGCAAACTAGACCACCTTTAGTTTTAGATCCCGGACAATTCGGAGTTCATTTGGTGCCTCACATACATGTTGAACATTTAGTCTTTGTCACTGCGGATGCTGGGGCACGTCAAGTAACTGAATATTGCACCAGTGCTTGTCGCTGGCCTCTTCAACAGCTGGTGAAGGAAAGGACGTGACCCGCGGAGACGGACAAAAGAAGTAACTTGCGCTTCTTCGCGGCTTCGCAAGTGCGCGCCGTTTCCTTTAATTTGCTACCACCCTTCGATTGAAAGCATCGTATTTTCATGTAGACAGGACGTGGTAGGACGCTCATCCATTTTTGGCCATACATACATAGTCTATTCTCGACCACCTAAAATCGTGGTCATTAGTAGGCGCGATGTCGCACGCGACGCCCACTGGCGCGGCGAATTACGATTCTCTTGCCACATACCCTTCAAACCCATCTCCCTGGCACGCCTCTGCTGAAACTGTCGTTGCTGAACTGTTGCTAATTAAGTGGATGTGGAACTGTCGACGCGAACACTTGCACTGTTATTTTTCAAGGGATTTCCCTTTCATTACATTCGCTATCCCGCTTGTGCTCCTGATTACTGAAAGAGATGTCGGAGTACTGTGTGCAGCCCGATAGTCAGAACGGTTAGAAAGAGTAAATCGGGTCCCCATATGACCATGGATTTCTGGTCAAGCGATGAATGTTGGAAAAACTTTGAAAGTTCTACCTGTATGTTGTTGTTCCGAACGACATCATTTTTACCGTAACGGAACGCTTTTGGTACATAACAGCAGAAGAGTTTCTTTGCTGCCAACCATTGTAGGCACCACGGCACCGCCTGAAAAGTTTTCACGTTTTCAGTGACTAGTAAGCTAGAAACTGTCTGTTCCCTCAGTTTCACACGATATCCTTCCCACGAAGTAACTCCTTCGTGCGATAAGAACCTACAAAAGTTGGACTTGTGACTGACAACCGTGTCGTTCACAGACCATTGCTTTCTCTTCATTTGAGTGAGTTGCGAAATTAGCTCTAGTACTAGCTTTGCGTCCTTCGCTGCACTTTTGTGGCTTTTTTCAAAAACAGTACCGCGCTCGAGCAACTCGTAGGCGTCCTTCCTGGTACAAGTACTCTGGCTCAGTCTCTAAGGTTATCCCACTTTTGCGGACCCACAGATAATAACGAAGACGCTGCGGCCTCATAAGTAGCCTTTCTGATGCCTCCCTAGTTGTTCCGCCCTCTGAAATTCAAGGGCTATTTCCTGCCATAAGTTCTGTTTTTGCCCCACGTTGCCCGTTTTTTCCGCTTTAGACGACACTAGTATTCGATGACGCGGAGGGACGATTACTGAGCTAGAGATGGCAGGACCATGGCTTTGCTGGCACAAAACGAGCAGGCACGGAAAACTCGTCTGGAAAAGCTACCGGGCTTTTACTTGGTGTTCTCCACGATTTTCTTATTCGCTTTTTTCCCTCGGATAGCTATTTAGCGACTATAGGTTTGTAATTTAGCGTCACTATCCACAATATACCATTGTGCAGATTGTCTCTAACACTGAAGGAATAGCACTTTTGCTATTCCGCGAATTAGGAACATATAAAGCGTTAAAAAGGTGGAACCAAAAATTATTCGAGGGCTAAATATGAGCCCTTCCTCCGCCAGCAAGTAAGACCACGGACCTAGGTTTTCACTTAAAGTATTATCCTGCTAAAGCGATTTGCTTAAGTTTAGGGTTCTGAGAAGAGCGTCGAGGTGGTTTACGCAGAGCGATCACTGGAGGTGCGACCTATGAAATCATTCGGGAAAGAAACCGCTGTGATCACCGCTGGTTGGTCACTGCGGCTCACCCTTCTTGCCAACCGGAAACTATAGGCCAAGAAAAGGGAATTCACCTCGATTCAGAAACTTCAACTCGAAACAGATCTTTTGAAGTCAATACGAGCATTCTCGAAGGCAGACCAAGGCTTCAGGTAAATCGAAACTAATAAATATGCAACCCACCTGCCAAGTTGGATTTCGGAGCGCATACTTTTCCAAATGAACGAAAATACTCGATGTGCATGTGGCTATGCTAATGATGAAGATCAAGCTCATGTAGTATATTCCTGCAAAGTAATTCACTAAGTAAAAGTATGAGAAATAGTCGTTGGACCTATTAGACGAGAACGATGACTGTTATAAGATGTAGCTGTTGTAAACATCCATGACGTAAAACGACTGCGATAGAGAAAGACAGCCTCGGCAAGTCGATTAGAGACTTTTTACCGTTTGTCGAGAAATGGAAAAACGTGAACCACACTAGGGAGCAGTCAGCACATGGAGCGCGCTATTCAAGGGCAAGGGTGAGAAGGTGCGTGGGAGATTCGGAGTAAGAAGGAGCCAGCTCCTCGGCACTGCTCCCCGTCGTGTAATGGTGGAGTCATGGGTCATCACCGACGACAAACAACGCCCAGTAGCTGCGTCAGCCCGCTGCAGCTGTGTGATTTTCATTCCACGGAGGAAATCATCTATCTGACTGAGCAATGCCATGGCTCACAATTCAGATCGAGAGCTCCTGGATCCCTTGCTCTTCAGTTCGATGGTTCCCAAAATGCATGCATCAGGCCACTAGCCGACGTAGGTGATCAGAGGGTCCATTTACCCCATTTCAAACAAGTTGTGGGGCGCGCTAAATGAGCTAAATGTCTTTTTTGCCATGAGGGAATGCAGTATAAAACGCTGGGCGGTATTAATCTTGGAAAGATGGTACTGTCGCAGATCGGTGAATGCTAGAGCATTGAAAAAGTGTAGCTGAAACCCCCTTTTGTTGGTTCCACACGCTTCTAACGGATATGAGGTGGAGGTTGTGCACTGGCAAGCGGCACACTTATACTCCTTATCCCTGAGACGGAGTAGGCGTGGCTTTTGAGCATGGCATAGGACGGGTTTCTCGTGGGATACTTCAATTTGAAACAACTGCTATCTTGTTCTGTGTTAGATGTAGACATGATTACGACTGCTCCAAATGACAATATCTCACGAAAACCTGGGCCGCCGCCATTTTAAAATCAAGTACGCAGCCACGCCTACCCGATCTCAGGGATTTCGAGTACTTTGCGCGCGGTTCGCGAGTCAAATTCCGCATTCGGCTCTTCCTCAGCCCAATCAAGTCTTCTACCTTGCCGGGACGTTAGTTTCTCACCAGACCTGTCTGGCAGGATAAGAACAGTGACTTGTACATCGGCTGACCAACGCAAATCATTCTACTGGCCACACGCATCCAATAAGTCACCACGTTTTTGAATGGAAGTTAAATGCGTGCCGCATCCCAAATGAGATTTATGGGGGACTTTATCTTTCTTCCATATTCTCTTGGAGGAGATGGTATAAACATTATATGTAGCTTTGAAGGTGCAGCCCATTTCCAGCGTTATCGCCCTCTCATTAAATTGATCTATGGCTTTGGTCGAAAATGGGACCGGGATATGTAAAGCTAATGTCAAATTCAAATAGCTCAGTCAAAACAATCAAGCGGAGAGGCGCTCAACTCAACCTAACGGTACTTGTGCTGCGTAGTCTGCATGCTTCTATGAGCTGAGTGAAATTCAAGAAAAACACGCTCCTGCTCCCCGGATTCAAGGGCCAAGTAGAGGGATACTCAGACTCTTCAGAGAGGCGGAACATCCGAGTATTGTTGTCTAGAATATCCTAAACTGTCCTATATAAATTCCCTCCAATAACATATGCAAGTACCGAGCTTACATCAATAACGGACTAGGAGATATTTACTTAAGTAATTCAGCGCTTTAGTTGGTTGTTTAATTTATTTTGTCAAATAGTAGTGCTAAATCATTGTGGCCTACTGCAGCTAGGCACCCCCACTGCTTACCTAGGCAGTCTTTTTAGGAATGGAAAAATATCATACCAAGTAATGGCACATCGCTGAATGACCCTCGCTGACCCGGCACGCTTTCCATAGCAAACTTCATTTCGCCCACCAACATCAGCAACATAACGGACATTGACAGCATGTCTTATTCCTAGAAATATACAAACACTTATTTGACATGATCTTTCAGCTATGGACTTTCTATAGCTGATTTGCTTTCTCGCCTCTCCGTTGGCCTTGATGGGAGGCATGGAATCGCAATGACGGCTAGCGCACGTGAAACCTACACAGAACGTATCGCAAAACATTGGAACCGCTCTGTCATTGAGTCACAATTGATTATCAGCTCATAATGAACCGTTAAGCGTAAGGAGGACGGTTGAGCGCACCGCGCCGTTTCGCCACTGGTTCTTTCTTCCAAGAAGTACATCACTCATGGATAACCCTGACTGTGGGTTGAGCAACGCAGCCGAGGCGGGCTCATTCCACCCTCAGCAGACACGGCTTTGCGTGCAGATTGCAACTCCTCATTTAAGCTATAACTCACCAATGTTATAGTGGGAAAGACCTCAAAGTGTGAAGAACATAGTAGAAGCTCTGTCGTTTGAGACCTGCAGTCTCATTGATACATAGCATAACGCTCTCGTTGGAGTTCTCCTGCATTCGAGTGGTACCATTGCGTAGTCGCGCGTCCATCAGCAACCACTCCTGGAAGTTCGGCTCTAGTTACAAGTTCTGGATCAGTTAAAGATGAACTGCACCCTCACCTTCGGATCGTAATCTCTGCCATATATTTGGGAAGCGGCTGCTTAGCGTACATCTTCTCGCGATCAAAAGTGCAGCAAGGAACTGGGCCTGGAAGGTAGCGTGGCCCGGAGATGCCGTCTAGGGCTAGCATACATCGCCGTTGTGGCCGAAGCACGATCACACCAGGCAGCTAACAACGACTCGCCCCTGAGGAGCGCACCCAGCAGCGTGAAGCGATCTAAGAAAGTATATTGATATTCAATCTACGCGTCTGAATAGGCGTGTCAAGCCTCTGCCGGGCGTCCACCAAGCGTCTGGGCCATGCGTCGGCGTCGGCTAGGGATCATGAGGGGTATGCTGAACTGAGCCCGCTGGCTCGACGGGTCCTTACAGCGCGGTACGCCAGCGAGGGCAGCAGGGCGTCACTAGGGAGATTGATACCCCGGAACCGCCAGGTGGAGACTAGTGACACGGCAGTGGAGAGTATGGGGAAGTAGGACGGTAGCAAACAGCTGTACTAGGCGTTGTGAAATTGCGGCTTCTGCAACCACGCGTACAGCTAATTGAATAGTTTTTTTTCATACATTGAAAATCATACATTGAATTGCATAATTCTGTGCTTTAGCAGTTGTGCGGTGCACACGCCGCAATTTCACACGCCTAATCCAGCTGTTTGCTACCCTCCTACTTCCCCATACTCTCTACTCCCGGTCGCTGGTGAACGCTGGTGGACGCTGGTAGACGCTGGCAGACGCTAGATCAATACTTATACTTCCCTAGCCCTCGCTGGCAGCCTAGTGGGCGCTGGCGGACACCCTCTGACCTCTGACGCTGCCGGAAGCTCGGAACGCTGGTGGGCGCTGCCGGCAAGTATGAACGCGCCCTAAGTATTCCGCTCGCGTTGCCGCACGGCCAGCTATGTGCCTGGCTATCACTTCTGGTTGTTCTATCACTTAGTACGTGATTCGGTGCGAAACCTTGGTATCGACGCAAGTGCTGCACGTTGAATGACGCGTGGGGAGAATGGAGACGGCATCCGGACGCCACAACCCTCTAGCTCTAATCCTGCGCAATTTGTACCGGGAACAGTAGCACGCTACCTCATCTGTGGACCCATTCGCCTCACACATGGCAAAGACCGTCCTCAGTGAGTGCACAGCTTAGCTATAATACTCCCGTACCTGATTGTCGTAGAAGTCACCGAGGTCGATCTCGTCTTTGTCGACCAGGAAGTTTACCACATCGCTTTGATATGTCCATGAACCACACTGAAATGTGTTGACGTTTTGATAGACGATTGTGACTGCCCCATTCGAAACAGAGGTAACAATCTCAGCTCCACCTCTAACCCTCTCCCGTTCTCTCTCCCTACATACTGCCAAAAATTGCTTACTTCCGAAAGCACGTAGCAGTAGCAATTGATTGTGCTATGTGTAGAGCGCATTGTCATGCTCTGCCAGCCGTCTGACATATTAAAATTAGCTGCTTCTGCTCTATTATTGCTTATTTTTATGTGTATTACGTCAG